TTTCACGTCTCAGGGTCTGGTCTGAGATTTCAGGCCTGCGATCAGCCAGCGCAGGTTGAGATATGCCCCGCCGGGACCGGTGCTCTTCGGCGGAGCGGCCGTGAAATAAGAGTCCGCCTGCAGCCGCTTGAGCAGGTTCGCGCACACCGTTCCGGATCGCGCCCATTGCCCGTTCTCGTCATACGCCTGACCGCGGCATTTTCGGATCCAGGCATCCAGCAGTGTGTTCACGGGCACGGTGTAGTACGCCGGAAATCGCGTCCATCGAGAGAGGCAGCACGCTGAGATGGCGACGATTCCCGATGTTCACGATCAGCCCGGGTTCATCCGGCACTCCTCCTGAAAACAGCCACATGAAACAAAGCGGCGCAGCGGGGCGCCTTGCCCGCCACAGGCGCCATGTCGCGGAACTGCGAAAGTCGCCACGAGTAGTCATGCACGGACAAACGCCGCAATACGCGCAGGCGAGCCGACCTGCACCGTGTGCGGGGGAAGGCCTTCGGGTGCGTGCCACAAGGTCTGGCCGTGGCTGCCGATCGCCTCGACCTGCTCCGGGCTGCGTCCGGCGTTGCGCAATAACGCCAGCGCCGCTTCGGCAAAACAGCTCGCCACCGCGGCATCCAGTGCGGCGACCTCCCGCAGCGCACACTCTCCCTGGCTTTGCGCCGCGGCACGTAGTCTGCCGGCAAGGTCGTTCGGATACGAAGCGCGGTTCGTAGCGACCAGCAGCGGTTCAGTGCTTGAGCAATCCATCAGCGCGGCGTCGACACCATCCATGCTGGTGCCGGAAATCAGGCCGATGAACAGTGGACGCACGCCTGGCCCCTATGCGGGATAGATCCACGTGGCCGGAAACACGGGTCCGTCCACGCATACCCGCTTCATGGCCACGCCGTCGGGCGTATGGGCTTCGACCGTACACCCCGCGCAGCCGCCCACCGCGCAGGCCATGTATTCTTCGAGACAGAGTTCCGCATACACGTCGAAATCGGCGGCAAGCCGCGCCGCCGCTTCCAGCATTGGCGTCGGCCCGCAGGCGTATACGGCCACTTGGCCCAAGCGCTGGGGTGGCAATTCGTTTAGCCACTCGCGAGTCAGTCGGTGCAGGTTGCACGGTTAAGGCAGCAGGAGGCCCGACGTTGCTGGCCAGGTGCGAAGGCACGCCCCAGTCACTCGGCACAACGCAAACGGTTCTCGCCGCCGTCGCCCTGAAGGGTAAACGGGTACGGGGAGGAGTTCCGATCCCAGGAACAGTCGCGGCCGCCAGGCCGGATTGCCGGCCAGTTTGCGGGCCAGGAACAGGACCGGCGGGATCCCTACTCCGCCGCCCAGCAACAGCACGATCGGCCGCCGTTCGCCGAGAGAGAACCCGTTTCCGATCGGGCCCATGGAATGCAGCGTGGATCCCGGCTCGGCCTGTGACAGCAGCGTGAGCCCCGGCCTCCCGCCTTGTACAACAGCTCGACCCAGCCTTCTTCGGCATCGGCGAGCAGGCACGACAGCGGACCCGCCGCTCGCTGCGGTCACTGCCGCGCCCACAGCGCAAGTGCACAAAGCTGCCCGGCCGCGCGGCGGCGGCGCAGCGCGGCGTGCGGATGCGGATCCGGTATTGATCTCCGGGAAACCTCCGGTGCGTAAGCACCTCGCCTTCCTCCACGAAGATCGGGCTAGCGCGCATATTCCATTCACTTGAGCGACAAGGTGGGTAAGTATATGAATTGTGCGGGGCCAGAATCACTCTGTCTTGCGCGGCGGGCCCGTCACGTTGCCTGCGTTCTGATCGCCATGGTCTTCGCGGCCCAAGCGGCGACGGCCGAACTTCCCAACTTATCCGACCCCAAAGTCACGATGGAAACCTGGATGCGAAACAGTTGCCGGCCGCGTTCCGGGCCGCCCTGGAGGAACACTCTCCGGGTGTGCTTGAGCAAGCGCCCGATTGGGAGGACGGTCCCGGCTAAGGGTCGGGCATGAGTGGATGGTCCGGCGCCTCTTCCGTTTGGCTGTCCATCTCAATGGCCTTCAGCATGTCCCGCCAGGCGCCAGGCGCGACCGATTCATCGCGTATGACCCCCCGTATCTCTGTGCGCGCATCGGTATGGTCAAGCGCAAACCAACAACTCAACCCATGGCAACAAGTGAAGATCGCGACCCGCGAGTGTCGTAAATCGGAAAACAAACACGAAAGCCATCACGCCACACCCAAAACCCACAACCACCAAATTAAGCGGATCGCCGCGCGAAGGTTCATCCCGCAGGCCGCTGGGCCCGACAACAGTGTAGTTGAGGCCGCTGCGTTTCAGGTGGTTCTCGCCCAGGGTCTTCCAGTGCCTGGCGCGCGCGAACCGCTGCATGCGGCATCCCTCCAGGGGGCCCCGCCTGCATCGTACACGACCCATGACAAATGTCTGGCCCCGTCCTCAACACGTCATCCACAAGGTTGACCACGCCGCCCGTAGTACAATTCCTGCCATGAGATTCCATCCAGCACCCGGGCGCCGATCGCGCAGATCACAAAGTCCACGCCTTCCATGGCAGCGAATACCGCGGCGCGATCCCGTACGTCCACTTCCATCCATGGCCATTGCTCCCCGTGCCGTTGCGCCGCGCGAGCGCGATTCGTGGTTAGGGCGCGCAGTTCGTAGCCCTGGGCATCCAGAAGCTTCATCGCGGCGCTGCCGCTACGTCCGGAGGCGCCCGCCACCAGGACCAGATCCGCGGCAGCCACTGAACCGCTCACGGTCAGTAATGCCAGGGCGGCAAATGCAAGCTGGCACAGCATGCGGCGACGCGGCGGCGACGCGCGGGGAAAACGCTGGGAACGAGGGCGTCCCGCCCTCGTCGAAGGCTGGAAGCCCTCGCTTGCATGGAACAAGCTGGGAGCGAGGGCGTCCCGCCCTCGTCGAGGGCGGGACGCCCTCGCTCCCAGGCTTGTGCTATGCGCGCCAGCGCAGCGGCGCCCGCTGCGAGGACTCTCAGGGGCGAGGCGCCTTCGTTCCCGGGTGTTGTTGGAGTGGCAGCTCAAGGCGCGCCCGCTCGCCAGTCGCGCGAGCGATCAGGCAGGCGGCCAGGCTGTCGACTTCACCCTTGCGCGCGCGGCGGACGATTGCCCGGCAGCACGACGCTCCCGCATCAAGTCCTGCGCCTCGCGGGTGGTGAGATGTTCCTCGACGGATTCCACCGACAGCCCATAGCGGTCTTGCAGCTGTTCGCGAAAGCATCCCAGCGCCCGGCCAATTTCGGCTTCCGTTTCCGGCGGGTAACCCAATACCAGCACCTGCGGCTCGTATTCACGCACCAGCCGGTCGAGCGCTTCATTGCGGGAGCCCGGCGCGCGCCGGCAAGTGCTCGCGTGGAGTGATCAAATCGCCGCTGGACGTGGCTACGCCGATGCGCCGCAGTCCAAAGTCCAAAGCGATTGCGGGCTCCGTGCGCATGATTAGCCGCGGCGCCGGCAGCAAGATTGCCGCTCAGGCATGGCCGGCGTGCAGTCCCAACCGGGCGACATCCACTCCCAGCAGCGCCGCCGAGGCGGCCCAACGCTGTTCAAACGGCGTTTCAAAAAGAATCTCCTCGGTCGCATCGACCACCATCCAGGAATTCGAGTGGAGCTCCTGCTCAAGCTGGCCTTCACCCCAACCGGCGCAGCCCAAAGCCAGCAGGGCCCGGCGCGGACCCGTGCGGCCGGCGATCGCCGACAATACGTCGCGCGAGGTAGTTACTTCGATGTTGCCGCAAATCGAAATGGTGGAATCCCACGTGCCTCCGGCCTCGTGCAGCACAAAGCCGCGCTCGCGGTTCACCGGCCCCCCTTTGAGGAGCTCCGATTGGCCAGAGTCGAGGTCGCGGTTGTCCAGCGAAAGTTGCTCGAAGACTTCTCCGAGTTTCATTTTGGAAGGGCGATTGATGACGATTCCCAACGCACCGTCGCTGTTGTGACCGCACAAATAGGTGACCGTTTGGCGGAATCGCGAGTCGGGCAATCCCGGCATGGCGATCAGGAGCTTGCCGGATAAGGTATGGATTCTTCATGACAATCCACGCGGAATTCCTGTGCATGATATAGCGTTGTCGAACATCACGATCGTTCGAGCAGGCTGTCGAACAACATGGACGCGCGAATCTATCCACGCGACAGTTTTCTGAGACGGACTCGCAGCGGATGCCGCGTCGGGCTCGTCGACTATGCACCTTCGGTAAGGTAGTCGCCGATGATGTCCAGACCGGCAAAGGCCACGCCGCGAACCGCCAGTTCCGCCCCGACCCGCTCGCAGATCTGAATGTCGCGCGGCGTCAGGTCGCAAATCTCCGCTTTCGCACCTGCCATCAGGTTGCCGCGATTGTCATCCAGCCGCGGGACCCGGTTCAGGGCAGGATTGACGCGCGTCCGGCGTATCAGCAGACGCGCCAGAGACGACGGCAGCGATTTACCGGCACGGTGCCGATGGCGCCGTGCGGCTTAGCGGCGTTCGCCGGCCGTAATGGTCTCCAGGATCACCGCCAGGTTCTTGTCCGCTTCATCCAGGGCAAAGATCGAATGTCCTCCCATCATGTCCAGCGGCTTGACGACGATACGGCCATGTTCGGACAGGAAGCCACGCATGACGTCCTTGGAACGGGTCACGATCGTGGGCGGAGTCAGCTCGGGGAACCAGGCGATGAACACCTTCTCGTTGACATCGCGCAAGGCCTGCGGATCATTCACCACCAGCGCGCCATCGTCCTGGGCACGCTGCAGCACGTAGGTGGCGAATATGTACTCGGCGTTGAAGGGGGGGTCCTTACGCATGAAAAGCAGATCAAGCTCCCCCAGGAGCATGTCCTTCGGTGTCTCAAGGCGGAACCAGTCGCCGTCATCGTCGGTAACGTTCAGCGGCGCCGCCCGCCCGTAGGCGCGGCCCTCGCGAATGTCGATATCCTTGAGTGTCAGGTGATGCGAGTCGAGCCGCGCGCCGCTGCGCCTCGCGGAGCAGTGCCAGGGTGCTATCCTTTTGCGGGGTGATCGTCCCGATCGGGTCCATCACCACGCCCAAACTGCGGGATGTCATCGTCAGAGGTCTTGAATTGACACTTGCCGGCCACATTGTAAGGCGGCGCCGAACCGGCGGCGACCGTGATCTGAGTCAAGAGTGTTAGTCTAGACCCTGAAAAACGGCATGCTGCAGGGGCCCGGAAAAAAAAACCCCAACAACCACCCCCAACCCCCCCCCACCCCCACCCCCACCCCCCACACACAACCCACCACACCCACCCCCCACAAACACCCCACACCCCCCAACCCACCACAACCCCACCCCCAAACACAAACACACCCACCCCCCCCCCACCACCAAACCACCCACAACAACACAAACCACCCCCACCCCCACCACCCCCCCCCCCCAACAACCCCCCCCCCAAAAACAACCCCACCCCCCCCCCCCCACCACCCCACCACACCCAACACCCCCCCAAACACACCCCCCACCCCAACCCCCACACCCCCCCTCCATCTCCCTCACACAGACGACACCCGGCCGGCCGGCAGCGATGTCAACCTCATCGTGCTGCACGCAATCTCCTTGCCGCCGGGCGAATTCGGCGGCAAGGAGATTGAGGACTTGTTCTGGGGCAGGCTGGATCCCACGGCGCACCCCTATTTCCGGCGGCTTGCGGACGTGCGGGTATCGGCGCATTCTGGTCCGCTGCGACGCAAAGAACTGGTTGGCAAGTCGTGAGCACGTCATGGAGCGCGCCTGGCATGACGGCCGAGATCCAAACATCGGGGACAAGAGAACTGCAACGACTTCTCGGTGGGACTCGAACTGGAGGGCGATGAAGTTACACCGTTTACCGATAGGCAATACAATCAGGCCTGTGCTGCTATCGTCGCGTTGCGGGCCGGCCTGCCGTCCTTGCAAAGCGCCCCGGTTGTGGGCCACAGCGATATTGCCCCCGGGCGCAAATGGGACCCGGGGGCAACCTTCGACTGGGGAAGGATGCGGCAGGATTGGCCCGGGTTGGAGGGCGTGAAGAATGAAACTACTGGCCCTGCTTATTGGCATTCTCGCTGAACGCTACCTGGCGCGCTGGTCGCACCTGCGTGAGTTTCGGCGTTTGGATGTGCAGGCAAACCGGCTCGCGGAGCGCCTGATGCGCCTGAACAAGCGCGCCGCGCCCTATATCGTCGCCGGCATCGCGCTGGTTTGCGCGGGGCCGATCGGGGTTATCGCATGGCTGCTGCGGGGCGAGCAGATCCTATGGTTCGTGTTCGCGGTGTTGGTCCTGCTGTTTTCCTTCGGGCCGCGCGACCTCAAGGCGGAAGCGCTGGCCTATCACGACAAGGCGGATGCCGGCGATGACGACGGCGCCAGGGCGCAGGCCGAAACCATCATCGGAGCAAGTCCGCCGGACAAGCCGAAGGAACAGGCGGCCGCTGTCGAGAAAGCGACCTATCTGAAAGCCAATAACCGTATTTTCGGCGTGATCTCGGGTTACTGCCGGGCCGTCGGACCGCGTTTGACATCGGCATCGCGTGCTCAACAGTTTGCGCCGCTATACGGCGACGCTACCCGGTGGCGAAGAACTGCACCGCGCCGCGGTTTTTTGGCACGGAATCGTCGCCTGGGTCCCCGCGCGTATCACCTCCGCCAGTTTGGCCTTGGCCGGCAATTTCGACGACGCCATCAACGCCTGGCGCGGCATACCCGAAGAGGAGCAGCCAAACCTGTTTGACGGCACGGGCGCGGTGCTGGGCGCGGTGGGCGCGCAAGCGCTGGGAGATCGCCCCGACCGGGTGCGCGGCGCCGTGGCACTCGTTGAGCGCAGCCTTATCTTCGTTTGGGGCCCGATCCTGGCCGTAGCCATGATCCTCGGCTGGGTCTACTAGTCCGCCTCTAGTCCAGATAGAACTCAAGCCGCCCCTGGGCTCCAGGGGTTGGCGATTTTGATTCCCATGCCATCGAAATCGCTGACATTCCGAGTCGCAACCGCAAGGTCGTGCGCATTCGCGGTACCGGCAATCAGCGGGTCGCCAAGATGAAGCACTCGGCCTGATTGGTGTGTGCGCGCCCGGAGGTGTGCTGCATATTCCGCCTCCTTACGCTCCACCGGCAGGATGCGGTCCTCAAACGAAACGACCAGGGCTGCTATGGCATGTTGAAGGCTGTCGCGCCGGTGCCCTGGAGAAAGGCATCGCACCCCGAATTCCAACTCGTGAAGAACGATGGATGATAGCCAAAGATCTTCTCGCTGCGACAAGAACGAAACGACGCCGGGATCCGGCAGTGATTTCGTCAGTTCGGAGACGACGTTTGTATCAAGCAGAAAGCCGTTCATTCATTGACCGGCGTAACAAACGGTATGGCGCGCCCGGGTTCACGGCGGTCAGGGATCTTGAGGTCCGTCCCTCGCGGAACGTATCGATAAGCCATTGGCCCATGGGCTTGCGTGGAGCAATATGTGCTTGCCACGTCTCGGCGGGAACGACTACAAATGCCTTCCTGGCGCCAATGCGCTGTGGGCCCTCCGTTTCCGAACGACGCAAGACTTCGGACAAGCGTGCTTTGGCTTCCGCGACGGTCCACACTCGATGAATGTCGGCGGATTGGGAAGCCATAATTTCTCCCGAAAAATAATATAGTCTAATGTAGACCACATTCGCCATTCACGTCAAGGCGAAATTGCCCGGGAAACGCGCAGGATTTTGCGGTTGCCAAGTCAGCGAGAAACATGATTCCGCAGTCGCGGGAAGCTGCTGCCTTACGTCAGGAGGTGCTTGGCTGGAACTTGGAGGATCAGGGTTGGAGACGCTGGGCGCGCCAGGCGCCCGGTCGAAACTGACCCTCCCCCGCCGGCTTCAGGTCGCGCGACCACAGGATGCGGTCGTGCAAACGGGCCTGGCCTTGAGTCCATAGTTCCAGCGTCCGCGCCCAGAGCCGATAGCGTCCCCAGTGCGGCGGGCGGGTCACGGTCTTCGGCGGCGCAGCCTTACGCCAGTCCCCTGGATTGCCTCCGAAGCGCACCGCCATTTCATTCATTCGCGCTTCCAGTTGGGCCCTGGACGAAGCCGGCTTGCTCTGATCGCTGGCCCAGGCGGCGAGCTGGCTCTGCCAGCCCCGGGAAGCAAAGTAGCGGTCGCTTTCCGCGCCCGGAGACATGAGGACCGGGCCGCAAACGCGGGCTTGCAAACCAAGCCGGTCCCAATGAAATACACCGCAGGCCTCCGGGCGCGCCGCCAGTTGCCGGCCCTTGGCCGAAAGGTAGTTGGTGTAGAAAACCAGGTAGCCCAATTCGTGGTCAAAGTGCTTGAGCAGCACCACTCGCGCATCGGCCCGGCCCTGTGCGCCCGTCGTGGATAGCACCAGCGAGTGTGGATTGGGGCGGTCGGTCAGCTCGGCCGCGCGCGCCAGCCATTGCTTGAGGATCGCCAGGGGATCAGCCGGCGCGTCCCGCTGAGATCAGTCGTTTGCACCTGCTAGCACCGAGGCGTGATGGCGGATAGGGCTTCTATGAAGGTACTGACAAAGAAGTACCCGTGATCGTAGCCGCCGCGCAGATGAAAGCTCACCGCTTGACCGGACTCGCGACAGGCCGCCACGAACTGCTCGACCTTGAGCTGTTGTTCCCGAAACGGATCGGCGCTGCCCAGGTCGATGCGGATTTCCAGGTCCAGCGGCGCCTCTCGCACCAGCTTGCTGGCATCGTATTGATCCCATTGGGGGCCTTCTTTACCCAGATATTCGGAGAATGCCGCTCGCCCCCAAGGCGAGGTCGATGGATTCGAGATCGGCGCGAACGCGGACACGGACTGATACCGGCCGGGATTACGCAAGGCGATGACCAGCGCGCCATGACCGCCCATGGAGTGACCGCAAATGCCGCGCCTCACAGGGTCGATTGGAAGAACTGATTCGACCAGCTCCGGCAACTCCTTGCTCACGTAGTCGTACATTTGATAGTGAGCCGACCAGGGCGACCGGGTGCGTTGACATAGAAGCCCGCTCCGGAGCCCAGGAAGTCCGAGTCGTCCTCGCCGGCGATACCGACGTTCCGGGGGCTGGTGTCGGGAACGATCAGCGCCAGTCCGGTTTCCGCCGCAAAGCGCTGGGCGCCGGCCTTTACCGTAAAGTTCTCCTCGCTGCAGGTAAGCCCGGACAGGAAATACACCGCGGGAACGGCAGCGCCTTCAGCCGCATGCGGAGGCAGGAACACCGCAAAGCGCATTGGGCAGCCGCAGGCGCTCGAAGGGTGTTCGACCGTAAGTTGCCGGCCTTCGTAACACCGGCTTTCCGCCACGATGTTCATTGCAGTTCAGTTATTGGCGGGACACGACACTAGAAATAGACCACGGAGCGGATGCTCTCGCCTTCGTGCATCAGGTCGAAGGCGTCGTTTATGCCGTCCAGCTTCATGGTGTGCGTGATCATCCGGTCCACCTCGATCTCACCCGCCAGGTACTGATCCACCATGCCCGGCAAGTCGCTGCGCCCCCGCACGCCGCCGAATGCGGTGCCGCGCCACACGCGGCCGGTTACGAGCTGAAACGGACGGGTTGCGATTTCCTGGCCGGCGCCGGCCACGCCGATGATGGTGCATTCGCCCCAGCCCTTGTGGCAGCACTCAAGCGCTGCACGCATCAACTCCACGTTACCCACACATTCAAACGAGTAATCGACGCCGCCATTGGTGAGATCCACAATGACTTCCTGTATCGGCGCGCCGTGATCCCCGGGGTTAACCAAGTCGGTGGCGCCCAACTGGCCGGCCATCTCGAACTTGGAAGGATTGATGTCGATGCCGATGATGCGTTCGGCGCCCGCCATCACCGCTCCCTGGATCACGCTGAGGCCGATACCGCCCAGTCCGAAGACCGCGACGCTCGAACCGGCCCGTACTTTGGCCGTGTTGAGCACCGCGCCGATTCCGGTGGTGATGCCGCAGCCCAACAGGCAGATCTTGTCCAGCGGGGCGGCCGGGTTGACTTTGGCCAGTGCGATCTCGGGCAGAACGGTGTATTCCGAGAACGTCGAAGTCCCCATGTAATGAAGCACTGCCTTGCCGCCACAGGAAAAACGGCTGCTGCCGTCCGGCATGAGCCCCTGGCCTTGGGTCTCGCGTATGGATTGACAGAGATTGGTCAGGCCGGATTTGCAGAATTCGCATTCGCGGCACTCAGGGGTGTAGAGCGGAATAACGTGGTCGCCGGGTTTCACGCTGCTTACCCCCGGACCGACCTCTTCCACGATCCCGCCGCCCTCGTGGCCGAGTATGGCAGGAAATGCGCCCTCCGGGTCCGCGCCCGACAAGGTAAAGGCGTCGGTGTGACAAACGCCGGTTGCAACGATACGCACCAGGGCTTCTCCCTCGCGCGGACCCTCCACGTCCACAGTCTCGATCCGAAGCGGCTCTCCGGCGCCCCAGGCTACGGCTGCTTGCGCTTTCATTGACCTGTCCCCCTATAAGTTTTCGCAGTAAACAATGGAACGAGGAAATCTTGCCCTCGACGAGGCCTGGAAGCCCTTGCTTGCATGGAACAACCCTGGGAACGAGGGCGTCTCGCCCTCGTCGAGGGCAGGATGCCCTCGCTCCCAGCGTGTTCCCTGCGCGTCAGCGCAGCGGCGCCTGCTGCGAAAACTCCCAGCGATCCTTGCACTCGACGAGGGCTGGAGGCCCTCATTCCCGGCGGTCCTTGCATTCGCTCCAGTTGGTTCGTGTAAGCCTTCATTCACAAGGCATTGTAAGGCGCAAATTGCCGGTCAGGCCACGCGGTCGGGAGGCTCCTCACCGGCGAAAAAGCGGTCGAGGTTTTCCTTCACCCTGAGCCCCATCGCATGACGTGTTTCGCAGCGTGGCGCTACCGAGATGGGGCAGCAGGATCACGCGATCCATTTCCCTGAGTGCCGCGGGAACTACGGGTTCATGCGCATATACGTCGAGCCCCGCCCCACCCAGCCGCCCGGCGCGCAAAGCCTCCACCAGGCGTATTCGTCACAAGCGCATCGCGCCGCGCGCGCGTGTTGATCACAGGATGGGCCGCCGGCCTCGCATGCGGGCGAGCGATGCGGCTATCGCTCATCATCCCCGCCGTCTCAGGCGTAACCGGGCAGTGCAACGATACGAAATCGCTGGATTCGAGCAGTTCATCGAGCTGGGCGCAAATCTCCACCCCCAGTTCCCCGGCCTCGTGCTCGGCCGGGGGGCGTGGCGTGAATATGCGAACCCGCATGCCGAAGCCGGGACCCGCCCGCTTCGCCACACGCCCCACAGCCTCCCGAGGCGCCGAGCCGACCAGGCCCAGGGACTTTCCACTGACTCTCACGCCGGGAATATGCTCGGGCCGCCAGCCCGGCCAGTCCCCGGCCCGCAGCATGCGATCGCCGCGCACGATTCCCCTGCGGTGGCCAGGATCAGGGCCATCGCCAGGTCTGCCGTGCAGTCGGTCAGTACGTCGGGCGTATTGGTAACCACAATGCCCGCGCGCCGCGCCGCATCCAATCGATGTGTTCAAAACCCACGCCGAAATTGCCAAAGATCCGAGTGCGGGGAGACGCACCGAAGCACCCGCGAATCCAGCCGGTCGGTGACGGTGGGGCAGAATCCGTCCGCCTTGCGCAAAGTCTGGCGCATGCCGCCAGTCGCACATGGTGGTCTAACTTGCGTGTTCCGCCAGACTTCGTAGTTCCCGTTTTTCCTTCTCCGCAGCGATCAACTCGATCCGTTCGGTGGCAACTTCGAGCCGGCTAAGCACCACCCGCTTCTTGGCCGTCATGACGGCTTATCTCCGGTCAGCCAGGTAGCGGCGTCCGCTCTCCATCAGTCGAACAAAGGATGCTTCGTCGCTCGCCCACTATCCGGTCAGTTTTTCGACCGTGGCGACCAGTTCGGCCCCAGACCTCGGCGCCGTGCGGATTAAGTAAGTCGCTATGGATCTCGTAGTAGAGGTGCGGATTGTCGCCGGCCACCTGAACGGGCCACTTCCAACTGGGCGTCGAAAGTCGTGCTCGAAAGGCCGGCCAGCACCGGCGCCTGCTCGCCGCTCTCCTCCAGGGCGTGGATGAACGCCAGGTTGATCGCATGGGAAACGCCGAGCACCCAGGCGATGAGCCGATCATGCTGCTCCAGCGGCACGCGCAGGATTTCGGCCATGTGCCACCGAACAAATGGCCACGGCGTCGGCCGCGTCCGGAGCGCCTGCGTCCATGAGCAGGATGTGAGAGCCGGACAACAGGTCGGTGTCCGGACCGAACATCGGATGGATGGAGGCGACCTGCATCCCGGCGGACGCCATGCTCTGGAGCACGTCGCAAGCGGTTCCTTGACCGAGGCGATGTCGAAAATCAGCCCGGAGTGGCGAGCCTCCTGCATTTGCTTGAGGATGGCGGCGCTGACCGTCACGGGCGCGGCGATCACGGTAAGCTCGAATTCCCCGGAAGCCGCTTGCCAATCCGCAACGTGCGGCAGCCTGCGGGGCGTGTTGGTCGGGTCGGCCACGGTGACGGCGTAGCCCTGCGAACTCAAGAATTCGCAGAACCAGCGTCCCATCTGTCCGCCACCGCCGACCACCAGGGCCCGATGCCCTCTCCCTGGCCACGGGCGCGCAGCCGGACGCGTTCCTGCCTCGATAGCGAAGCGTTGATCAACAAGCGCACGATGTTCTCGGACAGAAAGTCGCCCGAGAAGAGGCCGGCTTCACGCTGGTCGCGCGCCAGGCACGCGCACTTCCTGGGCGAAGTCGCGCGACGGAATAGCCGGCGCGCGTAATGATTGACTGCGTACCTCGGCCGAAATTTCCTGGCGTCGCGCCAGCAAACCGATGATCTCCCGGTCGATGGCGCCCAGTTGTTTTCTTAGCTGTTCAAGAGTCAGGCATGGAATCGCAACCGATGAGCGAAGCGGGCATTGTACGGAAGCGGCAACGTCAAGGGGAGGGCTGGCAGCCCTCTCTTGCATGGAACAACCCTGGGAACGAGGCCGTCCCGCCCTCGACGAGGCCGGGACGGCCTCGCTCCCAGCGTGTTCCCTGCGTGCCAGCGCAGCGGCGCCCGCTGCGAAAACTCCCAGGGGAGGATCCGCTAATCGGCGCTTTGGGCGCCGGGCAAATTCAATGCCTGGGCAACGGAATTCCAGGGCACCAGCTTGAAATTCTGGCGGGCCGGGGTCGCCGGTTAACCGTCCCTGGACGACTCACACCCTGCCCTCGAAAATCCGGGGCCCAGGTTCACGGCGCTGACCGCAAGTCCGTCCGGTTTCCTCGGCGCCGTCTATGCCGGCCTGCGGATCGTCGGTGATCCGGAAAGACCCCAGGTAGGCATCGCCGCTGTCGAGGTCGTAATAGCTGCTAGCTGTGGGGTCCCGCCTGAACTGGAAGCCACCAGTACGCCGGGCCTTCGGCGGCCCGATAGATATCAATACTTCCGGTCCGCGGGCAAGACCTCGCATTGCCACCGTAGCGAGCAGCGTTTTTCTTTCTGGAACCACCACCGGCTTATCCCGCGGGCATCTTCCAGAATCCGTGTTCCTCCTCGCCCACATAGGCAATCCCGGTCACGTCGTCCACCACACACCCTTCCGGCTTGGTCTCGACTGAGACGACGATGCGCTCGGAGTCACTCTGACCCGCCGGCGGTCTCAGCGCCAATCTCGTAGGCCCCGTCGCTGCCGTTCACATAGGCGTAGGCAAGGCCGTGGGCATCCAGATGCATGCATATGCCATACGGATCCTCAATCTCAAGCGCCTGCGCCAACAGGTGCTCCACCCGGCCATCTCCCGAGACTTCAAAAATGTCCAGGGCGCGCTCGCTGCGATTGGTGGCCGCCGCCAGCGTAACCAGGCCGGCAACCATGGGCACGTTCTGGCGCAGTCCACGTTGTTGAGGCGCCCGCGCGGCAGAAATTGCACTTCCTGCCCGGACAGGTTGTAGACCGACAGGCCTCGGCGCTTGTCGGTGCCCAGGATCAGGCTCAAGGACGCGTCGTGAGGATGAATCCAGATGGCCGGATCGTCGGCTGCGTCGCCTTCGCCCCGAACCGGTTCCGTCTCCACCACCGCATGAACGGCCGGTATCCCGGACCGCGTGACAAGCTCCGGCTCGCCGCCGCAGCCGCTTACCGCAACCACGCAAAGCCCCAGTATGGCGAGCGCGTGCTGCGAGCGCCTACGCATCCCGACGTGCGTGGCAGAGAACAACCCGGGAACGATGCCTGGTCGCCCTGCTGTCAACGAGGCTGAGCCGCCCTCGAGCCCTCTCATGCATGGCACCAGCCTTGCGCGAGGGCTCCCAAGCGTCTTTCTGTGCGCCATGCATCGGCGCTCGCTGCGAAAACTCCAGCGTGTTCCCTGCGTTCCGCGTCTCGGCGCAGCGGCGCCCGCCGCTAACACTCCTCAGCGTATTTCTTGAGCGCGTCAGCGCAGCGCGCGCGCGTTGCAAACACGCCGCATCTGGTGTAACCAACCCGCACCGGAGCGTGCGGGCTAGAAACTGCGGAAGGAGATTCCGAACACGTACGAGCGCCCGATTTCGTCGTATTGCGCGTTAGTAGCGGGAGCGGCCGTAGTAGCGATAGTTCGGCTCCTCGCCCAGGTTCATGGCGTTGAAATACAGCTGCAGCTGGTCGGTGACATCGTACTTGACGGTCAGGTCGATCTGGTGGTGCCCGTCCTCGTACAGGTCGTTGCGCGCTGGTCTTCGAGGTTGATTTCGGCGACGCGATTGCCGATGTAGGCCGAGACAGCCGGACGCTCCAGCCGTAGTTCTCGTAACCCACCACAAAGTTGGCAACCAGGTCTGCTTGTAGCGGCAGCTTCGAATCCGCGCTCCGGCCGGTATCCGGACCCAAGCCCAGATCGGCGTCGCTGTCGGTAAACGTGGCGTTGGCCATCAGCATCAGGCCGCTCAAGGTCCGGTAAGCAAGCTCCGAGAAATGACGGGTCCATCCCAACTCCAGGCCGTAGAGGCTGGCGGACTGCCCGTTGAGCGGCTTCAATACTTCAATGTCGGTTACTGCTATCGGTCCGGCGATTCCGCCGGGTCCACCACCGAGCTCACGTCGGCGTCGAACACAAAGTCCTCGATTCGCTTGTAGAACGCGCCGGCGCTCAATACACCAATGTTGCCGGGGTAGTATTCAACGACGAAGTCCAGATTCTGCGACCTGTACGGCTTGAGTTCCGGATCCGCTGTCAAACCGCCACGCATCCTCGGTCGCGTCGTCCTGCTCAATTTCGATGGCGCCGGGCGTCGGGTTCAGGTCGCCGAACGACGTCTGGCCATCGATTGGGTATAAGCCCCGCGCAGGATCAGGTTCTTCGACAGCTTGTAACGCACGTTGATGCTGGGCAGAACGCTGCTGTAATCGCTTTCGTAGCGGGACCCGGATATCTGAATATCGTCCTCGCCTTCCACGTCCACCTGGCGCACGTACGCGCCCCTGGCGGTGAAGTCGG